CCCTGCCATGATCCAGCAGCAACATCTGAGGTGCCACATTCCAAGCACAAGGAATTCCTGTGCTCCTGCAGCATCTCCCCACTGCACGCCCGCCTGCACCAGCGCCCGAAGGCACCCTATGTCCGTCGGACATTCCCGCAAACATCACCAGCTCCTGCTTTTGCCAACTCTCGGCAATGCTCCCATCCAGAGGGCGCCTGCAAGGAAGCAAAGTAGGGATCCCTGCGTGACCCCTGCAGACAGCAAGGGCCGCGGAAAACCCTTCCTGCACAAAACGGGAGGTCCCGCAGGTGCCATGAGCAGGATCCAGCATCTCCGCTCCTTCCTGGGCTCATCCCGCTCCCCTCTTCCGACGCCTCCGAGCCCCGTGGAGATCCGCTCCAGCTCCTCGGGCGCGGGATGCGGCCGCTCCGCTGCCTCCGCTCTCCCGAACGGGGACAAGGAGAAAGGAGCTCGTGCCTCGCTAATTGTTATTTGCCATACACCAGTAACATTTTAATTAATTTCAAGTCTTCGGCATAACAGCCACCCAAGGTACACAGATGAACCAGAATAAACGGGACTTGATTAAATACATAATTAATGTTCCGCTAAACCCAGTATATATGAATATTAATTAGCGGGAATACTCTGCAGTTTGGCAGCTCCTGTCATTACCAATTTACTCCTCACACTGCCAGCCCCAGCTTGGGAACAAGTCAACAGACCTTTTGTCTGAAGCCAGCAAACGCCGAGCGGGCGCGAGACGGCCTGGGATGGGATTCCCACCCGGAATGGGAGCCGGGGCAGGAGCGAGCCGGGAGCGCGCTCAGCCCGGAGCAGCTCCGGGATCGGCGAGCGCGGGACGCTGTGGGCAGCAGGACCGGGAGAGGAGCCTGGCAGCCAAGGCAAAGGGATGGGAGCCAAGTGCCCAGGTTGCCTGGCATTTTTCCTCTCCGCTCTCAATCTTTGCGCACAGCAGAGGAGGGAATTATTCACCAGACAAGAGCGAGCAGAACCCTTTGGAAATGGCCTTGAGCACCTTTCACAACAGGCTGCACACAAACATCTGTGCTGTTTGACTCCTGGAGAAGAGGGGTCAGCACAAAACGTGGCAAGAGAGCGGCAGGTTTTGCAGACCAGGATCCGGAGCAGTTCTGCACGACAGGAGACATGAAGGGCCGGCGTGTGCCTGGCCCGGGGCTCGGAGCATTCCCAACCGGAGCCGGCTGCGGTGTCGGCTCCCGCCTCCGCGCGCCCGGAACACGACACGCTCGCCAGGGTGTCGTTACGCCGCGGAGTCTGCGCTAATTATAGCGTCAGCGTTTCCTCTTCCAGGGAGGATAATTAAGGTAGAAGATTACTGTGTTTCCAAACGCCGCGCTCTGGGAAGAGGCCTTGATAGACTGGGGAAGAGGCGCGTGGCGAGACCGATGGGGCAAGAACAGCCGGGAAAGCCAAAGGATTCCAGGGAAAATCGAGCAGAATCCTGACCCAGAGCCCTGCTGCCGCCCAGGGAACAAGCCAGGGCCAGGGCCAGCCCTTCGTCCTGCCCTTCCTCCAGTCCTGGCACTACCCCGAGTGTCTCGGCCCGGCTCTGGGGCACAGGGCACGGCTGGCGGGGAGGAAAGCAGCTGCCTCATCCTGCTGGATTCCATCCTGCAAACACAGTGACCGCAAGGCCGAGAGGGTGGCCCAGCTTCGGGCAGGACTCAGGCACCTTCACCCCATCTCTCCTGACGATACTGAGGCCAAATCAGGGCACTTTGGTCACTGACCTGTAGCCACGAGGGGGGACACCAGGCCCCCCAGCTGTGGCCCTTCTTTCCCCCAGGTTTACAACAAATCAGAGTTAGGCAGAAAACCCTTTTCCTACTTGCCCCATCATTTGGGCCACAGCCTCAGAAAGACAGAGACTGAGCTGAGAGGGGAAAAAAACGGTGAAGGAGACGAGGAGGCAGTGAGAGGATGGGAAAGGAAGAAGGCAAGTGTTTGAAAAGGTTGCCGGATTACTTTCCGTACCACCAGGAATTGCAAAGCAGCTCAGTGTCATCAGCTGATATAAGTTTATCTCATCTTGAATCACTTTGTGTAACCTCGAAGCCTGAGCTGCTGGAATTGTGCAACGCCGCGAGACTCGGGCTCTGCAGGTTCCCATCCTTTCTCATGCTCCATCCCTTCAATAGGAAAAGCCACAATTCCACATGTTCCAGTAGAATTGTGCTATAAAGGATGTTTCCTGCTGCTGTGTTGACCAGAGGAGATATAAGAGGAGACCAGACACCTCATAGTCTCAGCATTTTCAACATCCTCTTGGGTTTACCATTTTTGTCCACTACAGACTAGCACTACAGGGGGACCACGGACATCCAAGGAAATCCGTGTCTCTCCTCCAAACCTCCTTTTGGGACGAGGTTTTGCTTCCCAGACCTCGCGTGGGTTCAGCCCTCCACGCAGAGCCAGACTGAACATGACGGATCTCGTCACCGAGG